TAGAATGACGACAGCAGTTTTCTTCAGTTACGTTGGGAAATAAACAAATGTGTCATGTTTAAATTACAACAATTACGAAAAGTATTTATTCCAAACTTATGACAGAGTATTAGGGTAATTGATTTTGAGAGTAATGTCTTAATATTATTAGGAAAAAGTTGCGATTTCAAGAGTAAAGTCTAAAATTGATAAGAAATCTTACAAACTAGATGTGGATTCTTCCCATCCAACATTACACAAATGTGTGTTTTTGTTTGTTTGTTGCAGTATAAACACCAGTACAAAGGCAGGTTCAACAAAACTAAATTTAAGAATTTTTATGGCTTTGCGGAACTGAATTTAAAACTGATTTCAGAACAAAACAAAGAGACAAAGACGGGGAAACAAGAAACACTGAAAGATGTGAAGAAAGACATTAGGAATAAAAAATCCATTCTATCAGTGTATTGTATTCCCCTTTTAAAGCTACTTTTTTTGAGAAAATTAGGGTGAAAAATGTTTTTAAAAATACATATTAAGAGGCCTGAAGTCTGGATACTGTCTGTATGTACAGTGTGTGTTTCACTACATGTAAACAAGCTTCTAGACAAAAATGTTCAGATATAAGAGTGACCACACACTCATTAACACTAATTTTCTCTGGATTTATCCTCTCTCTGTTACTCTACCTGCTTTGTGTTTCATCCTTTCATCTTTTCATTAATCCTCCACGTCTCTCTCACTCCATCCTGCAGTCTGTATCATCAGATTTAAGGTGTTTAACTCAGCAGGAACACACACTTACACACACTTACTGTATGCTGTCATTTTCTCTCATCACTCATATTCTCTCTCTGTCCCAGTCTGCGTTGCGTTATCTGTGTGTGTTTGTGTGTGTGTGTGTGTGTGTGTGTGTGTGTGTGTGTGTGTGCGGCTTCAGAGAGCGCACACACTCATGACTTCCTCTTCATCACTAATCGCTCTCATCTGCTGATCTTCTTGATCTCTGCTCTGCTGTCTGATACACAACAGAGCGCTGCGGCCCCCCGGGACTCTTTAAAAGCAGTGGAAGGTGTGTGTGTGTGTGTGTGTGTGTGTGTGTGTGTGTGTGTGTGTGTGTGTGTGTGTGTGTGTGTACCCATAGGAGACTGTGGTTTCATGGAATCAGGCAGGACAGTAGGGGACTGAGTTGGAGGGCATAGTTTGTGGTTTCAGCTGATGGTAAAAGTGTGTGTGTGTGTGTGTTTGTGACAGGGAATGGTTTCGCGGAATCTGTTGGAAATCAGTTGTCCAGTAAAGGTTTTTTTTTTTTTTTCTATTATTGGAACAAACAGAGTGTTTGGTGTTGGTATGGAGACCCAAACAAACTGTTGATGAAAACCTTCCAGATACTAATTAAATGCTGACACACACTAAGTAACAGTCCCCTCTGTTGTTTAATCCTCACTTATACATTATTTATTAAGGTTTATATTACCGGTATTATCATTTCCTACAGTCTGTCATGTGGAACATTTAAAAATGCATAAAAGCGTCACTGTTTGTCATATTCCTTTATTCCTTCAGCCACTATCTTGTTCTCATCACAAACCAGTGTAACCATTGAGCTGTGCTGCCAGAGCATACTCACTAATTTCTGCAACAGCATTTTCTGTCTGTGTAAATCACCTAGAAGAGATTTGTTACAATGTGGATCTTTCCATGTGGTTTTCAATAGTTTTAATACTTGATCGCTCCAGTGAGCTGGGTAGTAAACTTCAAGTGAGAAACACAAACACAGAAATCTCTCATGGAATAACCCAAACTGTTCGAGCTCTGAGGGACTGCAGACCGATCTCTACACAGAAAGTGTAAGTGAATGCCTGATTCAATGGTGGAAAATCCTGCAACTTGTGATGAATTTCCCATACCTCCTTGGCCCCTCCTGGACTTTCCTACCCCTCACCACTGAAGCAGTGTTGCTGAGGTAGTCGAAATGGATGTCTGGATCATCCTCTCATCCCACTGAAGCCTGGGGCGCTCTGCCCTGGGCCTGCAGAGTGCTGAATGGGCATCTTTGAGAAGACAAGTCATGGTGAGAGGGACTGGGCAGGCTTACAACGTGAAGAGCTGGCACTACGAGTCATGAGCTGTCTTCCTGCTGCCATTCAACTTGTGGGTTCCAGGGGAGGGTTTCAGCAGAGTGATACAATGCAAAACCTTCTGCCTCTCTCTCTGCTGCCTCGTGTTTGTTCAAACCTACCCCAGCGTTAAGGTCTGAAACCTTCATTAAACTGAAGTTTGGAGAGGTATGCTGGTTCAAACCCCAGACCGGCAGAATAAACCTGGCTGTGGCACCTTCTCCTCCCTCATTACCACCACTGAGGTGCGCTTGGCCATGAGGCACTTAATCCTCAACCACAGATCAGATTGTGGTTGTACTGGGCAGCTTCCAGGTGAATGAGTGTAACTGTGGTTGTGAGCAGGGTATTCATGAACCCCCCTGAACCGATGACTTAACAGCCTGTCTTTTCGGCCAATGTCGGTGAGTTCCGCACTGTTGGCCCTTGTCTGCGGCTTTTCCGGCCGACTGAGCATGTTGAATCGGCGGAGGCCAATCGGTGCTGAAGCGAATTCAGCAAACGACTTCATCAGAAGATCACACGTGAAAGAATCATCTGAGTTTTCTCATTCTGACCACACCAGTGCCATTTGCTACTTCACATTAGACATGTTCTTGATTAGAAGCAGCTGTTTTACTGATCCGTCTAAGCGAACGTCGGCCAACCTGCATCCATAGGGTTGCTTTTGTTTATATCTATCTAGGTCTTCTGGCGTTCTTTTTTGAATGTCAAATGCAGACTACCGCCACCTACTGGTATGGAGAGTTATTAGGCACTGAACATTCGTGCTACTTGGCCACTCGCTGTAGTCAGTGTGTTCTAGTGTCACTTTTTGGCCAAGACACAAGACAGAGGCGACGTAAGACGACGCAACAGCGTGCTTTTGTGGCGGTTAGTTATTTAAAGTCTGTTTGTTGTGTCACAGCCTTTACAAAGACAGAATTATGTGTGTTTGGACTAAAATATCTGACCTGGAAGGAGGGTGGATCTCTAACACACTGTCCAATTAACAAGATACTTGTATTGTTGTATCGTCTGTCTTTAGTTCAACACACCTAACCCGTAGCCCTGCAAACAATTTATCTTCAACTCATTCCATCCAAACACCTCACTAAGCATTTCACCCCCCCCCCCCCAGTGTATTGTACAGTACAGGGGTCGGACGGCGGCTCGGGAAATCCCATAAAAGAGTGTGTGTCAGCAAGATGACAGAGTGAGACAGACTCTTCATCAGTGAGTCTAGGGCTGCAGTGTGTATACAAACACACACACACACAAATAAACACATACTGTACCCCACGCCGAGCCCCGGGTCTTGACTCAACACCATAAACCCGCCATACCATCATGCTTGGCGGCAGCATCAGCAGTGAGGAAGCCAAATGTGATGACATGATACATGACATCACTCACACAACACACACACACACTTTAAATTAGCAGACGGTCTTCTCACACACGCACCCGTTTCTTGTCATAGTGCCAGGCACACACCTGCGGGGGGTTATAAATGATGTCTGTAATTATGTACACACACAAATCACACAGTCACACTGCACTGTTTAATTCCGCGAAGCCGGGGGTTGCTCACATTGAGACAAACACACCAACACACACACACACACACGTTCAGTGACAGAGCAGCCCTGAGGCCTGTCTGACAGGACAGTTTAGTGGTCTCATTAGCAGCGGGTGGAATGCCAACAGATAATTAACCAGGAGAGATGAAGAGAGAGAGGGAGGGCGAGTGTCAGCAGTAAAACACATAAGAGAAAGATGTTCTTTATGAGGTGGATAAAGTGAAAAGACGATAAAACCCCAGAGGGGAAGGAAGCTGACTTTGACTGGTTTCTGGGTTTGAACCGGCAGCCAGGACACTTTCACCAACCAGCTGAGCTCCAGACTGACACCATCCTCTGTACCAGGGAGGGATACCATAATGATGATAATGAAAACCATTTAAGGATGATGCGTTCTTTTGAGGAAAAGGCTGGCTGTATTCAATTGTTTTAAATATAGTCAACAAATCCCATTTAAAGACTAAATCCTACAATACGTGGGATTGAAAGTTGATGTATTGGTAAAAAGAAAATGCGACTAAGTGCCAAAGGATACAGTCAGCGAATAAATCAGTATGTGAAGAGATGAAAAGATCACATCTGTGTGGAGCGATGAGGAGACTGTTACCCTCCCCCAGTTAATACAGGAATAGTTTCATCATGTTTTCTATTTTTTTTTTCTCCACCATTTGAGGTTTTCCCTCTTCTTCTACAAAGGTATAATGGCATCAACTGGAGAATTAGCACCACCTACGGCTTATTTTGATGAACAATGTTCACATAAAAGCAGATGGATGGAAACAGGCATAAATGTGTTAACATTTGCACTAACTACTGTGTTAGTCAGTCTCATAGTACTTTTCCCTACGAACAGGGATGAATATTAAACCTCAGAGCTACTAAATGAATTGTCTGTTGTGTTAAAATGCTCCTGAGCGTTCTTTTGCTAGATAAGTACATTCAGATATCAGTACTAAGTATTGTTTTTGCATTGGTACTGAAACTCAGGTAACATATTGTTACTGGTACTGAAAAACCTTAAATGACACCCGGCGATCATAGGAAGGTGACAATTTCGATTTCATTTTTGGAAAGTGAAGGTAAGATTGAGCTGGCAGCATTATGGATGCATACATATTTCAAATGAGAAATGAGTTTACCTGGCATGAGATTTTATGTTAAATAGAGTACATTTTCACTTTAGCACAGGGACTTAGGACGGTTCTGCCAACCTGACTTTTTCCACCACAGCCAAAGACACAGTTCAGTATAAAGATTTAAAAAAAAGAGTAAAATGCTCAGTGAAGGCAGTGCTATGAAATTGCCTTCACAAACAATAAATAGACTCTCACATTGAATATTTGAATCAACTCACTTTTATTTGAAGTCATTTGGGATAACAGTGTCAGCTGAACGATTTAAGAGTAATTTTATTTCAGTATGAACAGATGTAAAAAAAGAAGACAAGATGCTGATACACAATGCTAAAAAAGAAAAAAAACAGCGGTTAAATAGTTATGGTCTCAATATCCGACCGATCTGGGCAGCAGTCAACTAAAGTGAGTCTTCAGTCACAAGTCATATTCACTTTTGCCACTTTTGAATGCTTATGTGGGACATGTCAAACAACTGTGGCCGTCAACAGCGGACAGACTTAATGCTAATCGTACCTGTTGTCTCATTATTCAAGCTGAGTTCTTGAAATGAAACAAAACCAGATGCTCATTTCACTTCGGCTGCAGACAAAGAGACTCCAGTCAAATCTGATGAAAACGTACAGTCAAACAGCTAAACTGTGTTGTATTGATGGAGAGAAATCATCACCTGCTTATTGAAAACGTGTGGAGTTGTTGCACATGAACCTTGAACAAAATGCTTTAGCTTCATAAACAGCTCTCAAAAAAATACCCTGTGAAAATCCCGTATCTCCATCTGTCTTCTGCAAAAATAGTAAAACAACAAAACAAGTTAAAAACAAAGTGCAGACTTAGGTGGAATATATCATTTTTTAGTTTTTGATGGTTGTAGATTCCCATCACCAATAGAGGAGCGTGTAACCATTGAAGAATTTAGTTAAAGCTGAAATTTAATGCTAATTCAGGAGCCATTTGGTCTGCTTGTTAAGTTGCTTTTTCAAGTAACTCATGTTTACCTCAACAGTGGCACCAGACACTCAGTCCAAAGTGTGTTGGGATCAGTGGAGAGAAGTGTGTTAAATGTTAACGCAAGCAGCCTAACCAACAGAAAATCCTCTGTAAAAAAGTCAAAAGCAAACCACCAGAAGTTCCTGGAGAAGACGATAACGTTTGCAGGCTGTGATGTAAACTCTTTGTGTGTCCAGACGTTTTTGCAGGACAATGAGGACGATGATGAAAACATGGTAACTAAGGCAACTTCAGCAGGACTGGATACGCCTCTCCCCAAATCCCAAACGATCCTGTCGCCCTGTCGACAGGACAGTCTATGTCTCGGACAAGACGAGGAGGAAGATGTGTGGCAGGATGGTAAAACGGTGGATCCTTTCACCTCCTCTCCTCTCATGGAGACGTTTGTTAGTTCGGAGAAGAGGAGGAGGAGGAGGAGAAGGTGTGAGATAGAGTAGAAAAAGGAGAGATCATCTGCTCATTCAACCGCCTCTTCACCGAAAGAAACGTTCCATCCTTGCATCCTTAGAACAAGTTTTTCTGAGAGGAACAGAGGCGTAGTGGTAGGAGGAGTAGAAATATAAATAGACAAGAAGATGGAACAGGAGGTTCGTTAAATACCTCCTTCACATCCTTTGTTCATCTTTATCAATTTAGGTTATCATCTCCTTCTCATTAAAGAGTCTGTTAGTTCAGAGTTTCCACCAGTTAAGCGCTACCATTTCAGCAGTTACCCAGCCAGCCGGCGGGCTCGGCGGTCGGTTGTCACGGTGACAGTGAGGTGTGGTGTGGCGTGGCATCAGTCGGTGGGAGTTGGGATGACACAGATGTGCAGGAAGTTGTCAGGGTGGCTGAGGTGTTCGCTGAGCCACTGCAGAGGAGTCTCCAGCAGAGGCTCGATGCCGTGGATCACCACCTGGTATCGCTTCTGCTCACCTGGAAGGAGACGGGGGGACAGTTTTTCATTTCATTAGCTAGTAGCATCTTTTAATTCCTTTTCTCTAAAACTCTCTTCTACTGGAAAGCCGGCTTCTAATTTAGTTTTACGCGTTTATTTCGGTTTTCTGTTCTTTTATATTCTGGATGTTTCTCCCTGTCTTACTTAAGGCATTTCAGTATTTTAATTTATATAGGAAGTTGTACAAAAAAGAGAATGGGGAGAAGAAGGGATTGAGGAGAGAAAGAATCAGGATGGTAGTCGAAGACAACAAAGAAGTAGAAAGGATTGGAGGGAACTAGTGAAACTGAGGTGTTAAAGTTGAGAGGAGGAAATGAGTAAGATCAAAAACGGTGTAAAGGACAGAAGAAAAAGGAGGAAAGGAGAGTGTGTAAAGAGAAAAGGGGGAAATAGGCGGAAGGGAAGCTAAAGCAGAAAAATTAGGAAAGGCGACACAAGGTCAGAAACAAGAAGAAAGAGCAGCTAAAAAGAGTGAGATGGTAGAGAGAAAAAAGGAAAAGAGATGGTTACGAGGTGAGCGAGACCACATCAGACACTACAGTAATACCACTGGTGTGGTGGGTGAGAGAGAGAGAGAGAGAGAGAGGGAGAGAGAAAGTACGAGAGTAAGGAGAGTGACAGTTGATTGTTTTTGTGTTCGTCGTTGAATTTTAACTTTCACTCTGACAGTTTGCAGTTTCAGACTGTGTGTGAGTCTCTGGCTATGATAGCCTCCTGTGACTGACCCCGCCCACCGCTGAAAGGCCGTGACCGCAAATCGTCCGTTAAGAGCAGAGACGTTCTCAACCATCTCGACCTTTCTGGGTCGTGTGATTTGCAGAGAGGAGATTTGTGACGATTTTTTTAAACATAAAACCGTATTACAAACGCGCCGTGAAGCCAGAAAGACACGAGGCAGGAAGAGTTGAATGAAAAACTCTTAGCTGCATTATGGGAAATGGAGGATTGGAGCTTAACCTTTACGAAGGACTTAAAGTCTAGTTATCGACTTGATTTTGACCCCCCCTTTTTTTTTTTTTTTTAACCCGTCTCTTGCAAGTCCCCCCCCTGTGTGAACTTTGTAGTTGTGTAGTCCTAAAATGCTGCACTACCCCTTCAATGGTAGTTCAAATGTCTTTGGTGTCGTGGTTAGGCGTTATTCCACCCACCTGAATCGAGCGGGGGACCTTAGTTGCATCTCTACCTCACTCGAATATCTCTCCACTTTTGCTATCTAATTAAGGCATAAAATTCCCCAAAAATAAATAAATAAATTCAAAATGTATTAGAAGGTAAAAGCATTGGCCTGTTGCACCAAAAGAAACTTATATACAACATATATAAGATCTTTAAATTCAATTTGACAATAATATGATACTTTGAATTAAGATAAATTAGTATATTATCAAATAATTTCCGTAGGTGTACATATATAAACTTTATATATAAATATTATATAAATTATTTTCAAAAATAGTAGTAATAACAATAATAATATTTATCTTATTTATTATTTAAATTGTGGGTTGTTGTATAGATGTTATTTAGAGCTCCTTGAATGAATTAAATACAGAAGTATTTCAGGCTCAAGTTGAAATGAAAACTGAGGTTATTATAATTTCAGGACTTAAAAAAGAAAAATTAAAAAAAATAAATTAAAGGCCAGAAAAGTTTATAGACACGTTAATAACATGTTCTGTTGTTGAGCTTTAGAGGTGTATTCCTACTTGCAGTTCCTTCTTGTAGTTTAAATTCTTCAAAAATACTTTTTTTTATTTTAAAATAAATAAAATAAAAACGTACAGGTGAGGTCTGGTGGTTGAACTTGAAATGCAGATTGTTCTGTTCAGACACAACAGATTGATTCAAGTGATCTGTTTACATTTGACTGGTTTCTAGTGAAGTCAAAGTCAGAAAATGTTCACATATATAAAAAGACAAATAAGAATTTAATCTCACTTCAAAAACTGATTGATGTTTCAAGACAAATATTTTTGCAGATTTGCAGTGAACGGGCCGGAAGGTGACAAATGTTTTGCTCAGCTGTAAAACAGAAACTGTGTTTAATATGTTCATTAAGATGAAAACAGTTAATGCAGCTGTCTTCAGTTTGGTAGGTCTTAGAAAAAAAACAAAATTAAAAAGCATAACAATAATCTTTGAGTTTAAAATGTATCTTCATAAATAATGGTACATTTATTTTTAAGCAATTATTTTAGATATTTAATTAAAACAAAATTATAACATATTTTTGTATTTGTAAGTGTCATTTCGGCTTTTGGCTAATTACGCACGGCTTTCACACGCAATGCTGTATGTGACAGTTGTTGACAGATGTTGCATGCGTGCGTGAGAGAGACAGACCGTGATGGGCCTTTTCCCGTCTATCACTCTTGACCTCACACACACACACAGGCCTCATTCACCCACCGATACATGACATTTTAGCTCCACGTAATATCAGGAGGACGGTTGAGACAGAGCGTTAACCGACCGTCTGAGAAGTGGCTCCACCCTACACCTGTTTACTGGCTGGCAAACAACAACGCGCGAGAAACTAATGCCAGGAAACAATGTGCTCAGCAAAGCTTTTCTTCTCACAATTACAGATGTGCACATGTAGGACTGAGGTGGGTGTATGAGGTGGGCTGCTTCTGCTGGTGGCTGCTGAAATGAAAAAATGAAGTAAATCATTAGAATTTACCAGTTCTACTAATTATCTGATTATATAAAATATATAATATTTATACAAATTATTTATTTTATTCTAAATGTGTGCGTAGGCCACAACAGAGTGACAGTTTCCAGCTTGTGGCTGCTAGATTCCACAATTAATAGCTAAATTGATATTTGAATGTGCTGATGCAGAGGTAGATCTCAGATGAAGCTAAAAGGTGAAGCATGGAGTGGTTTTGCAGGAGGATTAAAAAGGAAACCGTTTACTAGCTAATCTAACTGAAGTTTGGTGGGTGCAGGAAGTTTGGTGACAACAGGCTGTAGAAGGTGAAGAAGGTGAAGAGTGCACTGATTGCTGTTGCTAAATCAAGGCTCTGGTGATCTGTTGATTTTTAAGCTCACTAGAGGAACGTAGGTACAGGACAGGTGTAAGGAGGAGAAATCCAGTTAAATTTAATGATTCAAAACATTAGAAATGTGTGATAATGTACCAGTGACCACATTTCTTTTATTCACGCAGTGCCTGTTAGGAGGTGATTAACTTTGCTTGGTTGTTGGTGGATTGAAAAGGTCATTCATTTACACAGCTAAATGTCTTTTTAACTAAGAACTCCTTTAAAGAGTTGAGAAGTTTGAGACGTCAAGGTGGAGTGCTTATTTGCACTGTTGGCTTACTGCACTAAAACCACTGAGCCACAAAGCTTGAAAAAGGAAACCAGCCAGAATTCAAGATATCACTGTACTGATGCAATTTCCTTTTGATTGAAAGGAGTCAGATATTGTCGTAAGGCTAAAGAAGACATCTGAAAGTGACCTAAAGTTACGGTTGTTATGAGAGTGCACATTCTGAAGAAAGTGGGGTGTGCCTGCTGAGAGTTGAGGTGCAGCTGAATGAACGTGAACTGTAAGAAAAAACGTTAGATGTACTTTGACAGAAGGAGATGATGAAAGAAAATGAAGTACTAAAATGAATCAGGTACTAAAATGAATCAGGTAGTAAAATGAATCAGGTAGTAAAATGAATCAGGTATACGCACTGACAGTATTGGAAGATATAGATATAACAAGATATTAGCTGAAGTATACTGAAAGGACTGAATTTGAATTCAAGTCTTATTACTGAAAGGAGTTGACTGCTGGTGGAAGTGTACACATGGTATGTACTGTGTACTAAAATGGATAAAAAAGAGTTAATTGTTATAATTATTTTTCACTGTTACAACTTTAACTGTAAAAAACGTTTTTTTTGGTAAAAAAATAAATAAATTATTTGCTCAAATTCTAGATGAACTATATATTTTTTTAAAACACAAAGAGCACAAATATTTACATTTTAACTAATATAAAGCAATGCTGATTCTGCTGTTGCAGATTGTCCCTCAAAGTAATATAATGTATGTTTTTCTTTTCACCAGTGGAGCTTGTAAACCAGTATTACTCATTAAAAATATGATTAAATAGTATTAACCTGGAAGGATTTGTGAAAATAATTAGCCTTAATCAGCAGCCCTTTTTTATTGTTTTTTTAGCTATTATAATTTTACAACTACAATTTATTTTATTACTTACTCGTTGCTGCACCACTTTACTGTTGGTAGGTTTTATCATAATATATACTTTTATTTTTAATTGGCTTTTGCTTATTTTATTGTCAGAATATGATTGTAAAGCTGCTTTGAAAAGTGCAACGGCTGATGAAATCAACTGAGTCGATTACCATCGGAGTCACATGTGCAACTTCAGCGAAGTTTTAATTATTTTAAGAATTTTAGCTCAGAAGCACCGAAAGTAAAAGGTGTGATACTGCCATCTGACAGCAATAGTGAGACCACACTTTCTCTGGTTCACACACACACACACACACACACACACACACACACACACACACACACACACACACACACACACACACACACACACACACAATTTCTGGGTGGTGTTTGTCACCCATCTCTAACCTTTAGCTCCCGTTTTGGCAAGATGTGGGGATGGGGGTGGAGTAGGTGTATTCTTATAGTCTCACTATGAGAAATGGGGAAATTCACAATGGCCCACACCCCCAACACACACACACACACACACACACACACACACACACACACACACACACACACACACACACACACACACACACACACACAACCCACTCAAATACATATTACTGTAGATCATCACATTAGCCACCTGCACCTACAGTAAATCACTCAGACACACATACAGTCTCACGCTCATGCCCACACACTCCGAGTTTGGAGATGTATGAGAAAAATGCAGGGAGAAAGGAAATCTGTGACACATAAGGTCAGTCTGAGTTTTAACTCTG